AAAAAAAAAATTACACGTAGGATTTCATATCTACATACATACATCTATGGAGAAACAACCTTCGGACGGGCAACAATATCTGCGCAATCCAAATTTGGCTGAGCAAATAAGTTCTAACAAATACCTCTTACCTTGGGTTGAAATCCCTGAATAGTGACTGCAAATTCATGACTTCTGGAGGTTTTGTTTGTGGCTACCGAACGAATAGGCTATAAACACAATGGCCTCTAGTAATCAGTTATGAAAGTAGGCTCGAATTTAGAGGTTGCATATTTTCCTTTTTCGATTTCGTTCAACACACTATTTACTTTTCTTCTAAACAGGAAGAAATACTTTCAAGTATCGCAAAATGACACAATTGTATTAAACTGGGGTCAAATTTTGTAAAACTTTTTCAAGCAAAAAGAGGACAAGAATTACAATATTTACGTATGTCAAATAAAAAGAGAATAGGAAAAGTGATGAAACCAAGGCTTGCCATTATTCCAATTTAAATAAAACCGAGCGTAGTGGTCGGTGTTATGCAGACAACCTTTGGTTTGGGAAATTAAATGGCGGCTGCGTAGTTTGCTCAGAGCTGGTTATATCAGTTAAATACATTTTCATCTTTGGATCAACGTTCTTTACGAATATTAAAATTAGTTAAACTGTGTGCTGGTAACTCTGTTTGTCCATCGATTGTTATCTGCAATAGCTCACCACGCACGTGGTGGAAATTCACCCAACTGTCAATATTAAATGTCAATGCGTTTTTTTCGTTCTTTTCATCGGAAAATTTGTGAGCTTTCCCATTTTTGTTTCAAAATTCTGGGGAGACTTCGATAAAACCTGTATAAAAAGGATTTTAAATTGTGACGAGAAAGTTTATAAATTGTAACGCGTGTGTGTGTTAGTAAGAATGGGGAATGTTTTGGCCGCATCGTCTAGCTCTAGCTCATCGCTAGACGCTGCCAAATTGGGATTGCCGGAACTATCAAGTCCGTCGCGGAACCCTTCGTCGTCCCCAGTGACGGGACTGGCGGGTCCCGGCGTTAGTGAAGCAGAATTAAAGGAACAAAAGCTTGAAAACCCCGGCACTGTTGAAGAACTGCATAAAAAATGTAAAGGTAAGAACATACAGAAGGAGAATCCACCGCTCTGAGCCCACCAAAAGTGATGACATAACCCAAACGCATGTGAAAGAATGGCGTTTTAATTCTGTTGGTGGTGGTGGCGGTGGTTAAAGTAACAGCGCAAAGTCGCTGCTTACTATTTGACATTGTGTAAACAATGATTCAAACCCATTTGCGAATATTTAAAATTACACGACTTATGAATGATTTGCATTTCTTTTATTACTTTCATAGACATTCAGGCAATGACCTTTGAAGGTGCGAAAGTTATGCTAAATAAGGGGTTAAGTAATCATTTCCAAGTCTCCCATACGCTGAACCTCTGTAGTACACAGCCTAGCGGGTATCGCTTTGGAGCTACTTATGTAGGAACAAAACAGTTTGGCCCTTCGGAGGCTTTTCCCGTATTGCTGGGGGACATTGATCCCTCCGGAAATTTAAATGCCAACATTATACACCAATTTACCCCTCGTGTCCGTTGCAAATTCGCCTCGCAAGTAAGTAGCATCTTTGGTTTAACAATTATACATATAAAAGTAAAAACTTGCTTATTCAGATTCAAGAT